TCCGGCCCTACTGATATGCTCACATATTGAGAATTTTCTTTATATACAAATCTGACTCTCCCATTCCTCTCCATCAAACATTTTGAAGGCTCACCAATGTCTCTAGAAACAAATGATTGGATATGTTCCATGTACACTCAACTTTTTTCAGTTTCTAAAACCAAACTTGTGTGTTTTCTCCTTCAACCCTTCAGAGTCTGGAATAATTCCATCCCTCCACGCTTCCACTCCTGCCTTATACCTTTCAAAATGTCTGCTCAAATTCTATTTTCTCTAGAAATTTTGCCCTGAAACCCCCCGGCCCAACCTCTGCCCAGGCGACAGGGAGGGGCTTAGCATACATGGAACTGTATGCATATACTTGCTCTATTGGAACTGCTTGGTTTCCTTCCAGAGAATACAGAACCATGCTTAAGACCATGGTTTGAATTCAAGCTCCACTATTATTCAGGTAAATTACTCTTCTGTGGCTTACTTTTTCTAATGTGAACTCCAGTAACTTATTTACCCCATATAATTGTTAGAAAGGACTTGGCATATATAAAATGTTCAGTAAATTCTGGCTGTAAACCTACTCACCTATTGGACCTTGAAATGCCAGATAGCTGGCACCATGTATTGGTGCTTAATCCAGAGCCTGGTATTTATTAGGTTCTCAATAAATATCTTCTGAATAAATGTATGAATTAGGGAAATGCTTATATAGGACCAAATGGCCATCTTACCTGTCCATGAGATCCCTCTCCCCACCACCACCACACACACACACCAGGAAAAAAGGGAAGAGAGGAAAAAAGGAGGGGAAAAGAAAGAATGCAAAAAGTGTTTCTTATGCTTTAAAAAAAAATAATTTCCTCCTATTTGGTGATTTTTGAAGAGAAAGGTATGGTAAATTTGGACAACGTTCTAATCCTACCAGAAGGCTGGCCCATTTTTAATCAGTATTTTTTGATAAGAGAAATGATCAGTCTTATCTTAGAAAGACCAGTGTTAGTTTTCTCTATCTCATTGCGAACAAAACAGGTGCAAGTTCTGCCCACAAGAAGCTTCAAACTAACTGGAAATACAGACACTGAATAGAAACTATAAAATAATTCACTGTGCTTGTGATAGGTGCTGTAAAAAGCAGGTCCAGGGAATGCTATCATGCAACGGAAGGGGAATATAAGGTACACATGATGGTTTCTAGATTTCTGGCACAGCAATCCTAGGCTGTGGTGCCATTACTGGGAAAGGGCACAGTGGGGCAGCAGACTGTGCTGTGCTGCAATGCCTATAGCATGAGAGTGGAGAGGGTGACTTGACATGGGACACAACAGTCCAGAGACCAAAAGCCAGGACCACACTGCACAGACACTTCTGTAGCCATGGGGAGGGGAAAAGGGGGAGCTCCTACTCCAAGTAATTTTTCAAAAATGGCTCACAATGTGTTATGAAAAACATTCTCAGAATCTCTTATTCTACTAGGGTAAGGCAAGCACATAAGAGATTTAGTATCAGAACAAGGGAAGGGCTCCTCCAAACCATTTTTATTGCTGTAAAAAAATATAAAAACTTGTTAGAGGGAAACAGTAATTAAGACATCTTATCGATTCAGGGATACTAAGTAAGAACTCAGAAGGGGAACCACATATATATGACATGGAACAAGGAAAGAAGGGACAATTTAATCTATCTTTATGGTGGGAAAAGGTGAAATTGTACCACTCTATCTCCTAGAATATACAAAAACAAATCTGGGTAGAATAATGATCTAAATGCCAAAAAAATTTTAGAAGGAAATACAGGTGAAAAATAACTCTGTGGTACCTAAACAAGACACAAAAGGCCTAAATCACAGCACAAAGAAAAATACTATTCACCTGTATTAAAATTAAGAGTGTCACCCAGTAACAAAAAGGACATCAAGAGTATGAAAAAAAGCAACAAACTAGGGGGAACATTGTTAAAACAAATAGCTAAAAAGGAGAATATATAAACAATTTCAAATAGTCAAAAGAAAAAGACAGGAAGACAACTCATATGACATTTTTGCTTAAAAAAATTACAAAGGAAAAAGCAAACCATCTGGCAGTATCCTACTGGGAGAATGGGCACTATCTCATCCAGTCAGCAAGGACACAGGTAATTACAGCCTCTTTGAGGGAAAACTTGTCAATATACATTAAAAAAAAAAAAAAAAGACTTCGCAAGGGCATGTCTAGGAATTATTCAAGAGAGAAAATCTCACATACATAAAAGCATCAGTCAAGGACATTTTCTGAAATACTGTTTCTAGTAGAAGAAAGAAAACAATTTAAAATGTCCACCAATAGAAGTGTAGTATAAATAAATGACACCCATACAACAGAATTTGAGACAAAGGTGTCTACTGACAAGGAGCTATCACTAATCTATGATACAACAAAAAATCAAGATACAGAACAGAGTATTAAAAAGGAGAGCAGGCTAGAATGTAGAAGATGGAAAAATACTTATGCCTATGTGCACGGAGTATTTCTACAGGTATCAAAGAAGCCAATGAAAGTGTCTGCCTCTGAAAGGCACGTGATTGTGATTAAAAAGTAGCCACTTCTCCCTCACTGAAAATCTGTAGTACTTTTAACTTGGCTTTTAATTGTGTATGTATATATTATCTTCTCAATAAAGAAAATCCACTGACAAATTTTATCTTCCGCAAAAAAATGAAAAAAGGGATAGTTTAAACACCACACTGAAAAGAACAGAATAGATTTGTATACACTAATGGAGAATGCATACAAAGTTTCTTTTTGGAGTAATGATGACATTCTAAAATTATCTGTGGTGATGGACGCCCAACTATACAAATATACTAAAAGCTACTGGACTGTGCACTTTAAATGAATGAAATGTACAGTGTGTGAATTTCATGTATTATTTTGTGCATGGGGGTGTGTGTGTGTGTGTGTGTGTGTGTGTGTGTGTATGTGTGGCACCAGACTCAGGGCCTTACACATGTTAAGTAAGAGCCCTACTACTGAACTACACCTTCAGCTCTCGAGTTTTCAGAACCTGTGGCCCAAAAGTCTAATGTGGTCCATCACTGGTATTCCTCTTCTCCCCCACCACTTGTTTTTATAAAGTTTTATCGGAACAGGGACACACCCATTACATAAATCTATGGCTACTTAGAGTTTCATGTTTTTTTGTGGATGGGGGTGTGTGTGTGTGTGTGTGTGTGTGTGTGTGTGTATGTGTGGCACCAGACTCAGGGCCTTACACATGTTAAGTAAGAGCCCTACTACTGAACTACACCTTCAGCTCTCGAGTTTTCAGAACCTGTGGCCCAAAAGTCTAATGTGGTCCATCACTGGTATTCCTCTTCTCCCCCACCACTTGTTTTTATAAAGTTTTATCGGAACAGGGACACACCCATTACATAAATCTATGGCTACTTTCACATTACAATAGACCCCTGACATTAAAAATACCTTTATGTTATATGAGGGGGAAAAAAAAAACTACCATAAGTTAGTAAGACAGCATTATCACTTATAAAGATGCACACACAATAGGACATAATTTTTATGAGTTCATGTAGTGGTAACAGGAAATGATTCAGAAGGATAAGCATCAAACCAAACTGATATCAATGGTTACTTCTAGGCAGAGGCAGAAAGACAAGGACTGGGCCTGGTCAAAGGGGTACTGGGTTTTAGTCAAAATTTTTTTAAAGCTGCACTGTATTCATGTTAAGGATACTTTAGGTTGAAACCAAAATGTGCACTCTCATCTTGGTCTTATTTTCCTAAGTTCTGCCACAATTTTAAGTGTTCTGATCTTCATTCACTTTTTTTTTTTTTTCAGATTTTTCCTAGCATTCTGCTTACATTTCCTCTTCATTAACTCCAGAACTGAGATGTTCAAGTTGCAAGGTGAAATGATTTGTAAGTCAGCTAGAAAGTGGGCACAAGCCAGCAAATTTCTAGGTCCTGCTGACAATCAACTATTTCAGGCATATAATTCCCATTTCGGGGGAATGTGACTACTCCAATCACAGGATTAGCCTCTCTTGCAATTTACCCATGCCCACAAACTTTATATTATTACAGTCACATAATTCAGGGATCCTCTTGGAAGCTGTGAGACTTCCTGACATTTTTCAGCACTTGGAAAGGCAAGTTTGACTACTCTTTAACAAAGTATCACCTAAGAATGAAACTAAATTATTGTTAATGAGCAATTCAGGCTCTAGAATGGCACATGTGTAACTTGAGTCTCAACCAAAAACTATTTCACACCATAAATTATAGAGACAATGTAGGTATAAATGGTAAAACATGTATACTCCATCACTATGAAAACAGAGCAGTTGAAATTCAATTGGAGGAAAAATCAAATTGGTGTGGGACAATGATTAGCTTAAAAACATAATGGTGTTTTTTGAAGGAACAACAAAATGTCAAATGTGACTAGCTATATAAATTTAAACAGAAACAGATCACAGATAACCAGTCTTGTTCGGTATCTAGAAAATGTGTACAGTTCCAGAAAAGGCCAATATTATAAAACAAAAATAAAAAGTATCCGAAATAAAAAAGAAAGTAAATTCAAAATCTAAGGTACCGTTAGGACCAAGAAGTTGCGAGGAACCTGTGCCACGGCTCCCCCCGAGCAACTACCAACCAGAAGCGTGCACTTCTGTAATGGCAGGTACCACGACTACTTCTGCTTCTGAAACAAAAGTAACTGCAATACACTCCCAGAAGGTTGCTCTTCTGAAATAACCTGGGGAAATCTGGCTATACATGATGGGGGCAAAGACCACTCATCAAATTTATTTCTTAAACAATGTGGTTTTAAAGTATTTTGTTCATAAAATCTTCGCAAAGGAGAATGAAGTGTTGAATATTAACAAGAGAAGCAGTAAAAATGACAAACCTACACACACACACACACACACACACACACACAGATACATTTTAAACACAATTTCAAGTTTCTCCTTGGCAAAAATGGTTTGCTCCTAGCAAACTCACCTCCATGTTCTAGAAATACTCGAACACATCTTTCCTTTCCTCTTGCTGCAGAGAAATGAAGCAGGGTCCAGCCATTAGCATCTCGGCCATTTGGAGAATAGCCTTGTTCTAACATTTTCCGTACGGTGTGAACATCCCCAGCGGCCACTGCAGCCTGAATCTGCAATTCTTCCTGGAGTTCAGGATTCCTTCGACAATGGTGGTGTAACATCCTAGCTGAGTCCACTTTTTACCAAGGTTTCATTAGGTCACAGGGATCAGCCTTTCAGGGAAGGTAGAACATATAAATTTAAAAGTGGTTCCTGAATCTGCGTCCATCAAATGTCACAGAACTGTCCATCTGCTAAATCAGTAAACTTAAGTAGTCAGTTCATACTACTTGTTAACATGTATCTGTTAAGGACCAAAATTTCCATAATTTTGCCAAGATTATCAATGATTTCAAAGGGAAAGCCAGGCACAAAAACCTCTGAACTCCTGAAGAGAAAATTTCATCTGGAGCCTTTTGAAAACTCAAAACAACCAATATAAGAACATAACAGCTATGTTTTATGTAAAATGGGAGGTAATACCATGTAGTAAAAAGTGGGAAACAGCAGCAGGGGCAGATTAGTACCTGTTTTAGGAGTTCTGACTTATGGGGTGCACCATGGAGGAAATTTAAATTGTAAAATATTCATGGATCATCACAAAGTATGGAGAATCAAATGGACAATCCATATACTAGGAATACTAAAGACATTTAATTATGAAGAGCAGAAAAGAAAAAAAACCTTTTATATTTAGGGCATGCTCAGTAGTAGAATACCAGCATGCATGAGAGCCTGGGTTTGATTCCCAGCAAACACAAACACAGACAGACAAACAGCCCCTCCCGCTCCCCCTCCCCTCTCCTCTCTCTCACCAAAACAAACAAAGTCTTTATGCTGGTTCTCCAAAGTAGATCAACATTTTACTTTTAGCCCCATGTTTTATTTTTGGTTTAAGGTGTGAAGGTTGGGGAAATAAGAAGTGGGGTGGATTAAGTGAGAGTAAAATGTTTGAATTACATTTACCTTTCTTCTATTTTAATTTTGTTCTATCAGTGTTTCCTGCTTTAGGTTATTCGATGTAAGCTTTATTAATCCTCTATCTACCACATCCTCTAACATAGTAGCAAGATCATACATTTTAAAACTCTAAGAATCTAAACAACCTGTTAATTTACTTCACGATAACATTATTTTAAAGGAAAATACCTAGAGTTCCCATAATCTCTGGTAGGTAACAAAAGAAATGTATACAAGTTCTGAAACCCAATATAAAACGGGATCTCTTCAAACAAATAGGAAAATCCCAAAATGAAATGGCAAAAGATTGTCTTATATATGTGTGTACACAACTTTTTTAGTGTGTTTTAAAACTGTTATGCACACACAGGGACCTAAACCCACAAGATTCTAGGAAGACACTCAAAGTGGGCTAATCTGAAAGAATGGATCAGACCCATCTCTTAATTAGTAGTTTCTATTTCTAAAAATAAAAACATTCTGTGATAGTGCACTTTGAAGACATTTTGTTTTCATATGTAGGTTAGACATCTTGCTACCAACAGCAATTTATCACTGTTAAATGTAAACTCCTCGTTACAGACTGTACTCAAGTACACTAAGCCTGACTTAGGCTGAACCACCACAGCTTAAGAGCACAAACACATGATGTGATTTTATACCTAGAAAATGACGTTACAAGCCAAGTATCACTACTAAATGACATCATTTAAAATGTCATGCTATGGGTATTAGAATAACTGTGTTGTCAGAGAAAATTGGGAAATGAGAGATTTCTTAACAATATGTTCTCTTAATAAGATCTTCTATCTCTTCACTTAATTACATCACTAAAATTAAGTCTCTTGTCTTAGAAATTTTAATAAAAAAAATCCTTTCAGGATAGGTTTCTGCTTATTTTCTCTTAGTAGTATAAAAAGCTGAAGATCATCAGCAGGAATTAATGGAAACTGGTAGTATATGGTCAAAATTATCACCTCTAACAGAAAATTTTAATGGAATGGTTATTTTAAAAAAGGTCTCTTATGCAAGAAAAAGAAATAATATCAAAACAAACCTTATTTTATTTCAGCAAGTGCTATATTTAGTATATATTAACTGCTTTATTTAATTCATAATTTTTATATTTTTTATTTTAAAAAAATTTTTGGTTCAGTGATTGAACCTAATTGTTAATTATGTGTTCTACCTCTGAGCTATAACCCCCTACATTAGCTGATTTCAAGGAAAAAATAAAAACTAAAGGAGTTTTCCCTCAAAATAGCACAGACGATGGATGCCCGAGTGATCTTACCTTACAGAAGGTCCCTTATCCTGGGACATAGGTGGCCTAACAACCATTGTGCACATCCAACATCGTGGTGGGGTGCAGGGGGATTCTGGATGTGTTCAGGCTGCAGAGCAAAAGAGCTTCTTAACCTAAAAACAAATCAAATAACAATCACAGGAAAATTCCTTAACATAATTAAGAATCATACCTGCTTACAAAGTCTACTTAATGATGAATTTAAATTTCAGCCCTTTACAATAAATCTATTAAAAGAACTCAGATAAATTCTTGGAGAAAAAGATCTTCTTACTTATAGTACTCTCCAAGGTGGTTTCAAATGACATTTTCAGAATCCCATTTAATTTGTTGAAAAACAGTAAAGAAAATAATAAGTCATACATTCAGAATTCAGATACCAGCAAAACTGCTTCTTTTTTTTTCCCCCTTTGGTACCAGGGATCGAACTCAGGACCTTGTGCTTTCGAGACAGGCGGTAGCACCACTAAGCTAAATCCCTGGCCCCAAAGCTGCTTCTTTTTCTTCTACAGACAACGTATCTTCAGACTTGCTACGTCTGAATTACTTTTTAGTGACACCATCACTTACCTACTCTTTCTAAACAGGACTAGAAGAATTCAGGTGCAATGGGCAGAGCCAAAATGCAATCTACGGACTCTCCAAGATTGTATCTTTAGATGCTGGTTCTTCATACCCTTGACAGGCAGTCAATAATGCTGAAATTATCTTTCGTGCATTCACCCCAACTAGGTAAAACATTAACAATAGTTCTGCAGCTTCTCTGTGTGAATTAACAAAGACTCTCCATACAACTAAAAAGGGTCTTTCTCCATGTCAACTGGTTCCTAGCTCCATAAATCCCATCAAAGTTAAGAACACAGGCAAGGTGACCTCCACACATCAACAACAGAACCACTTGAAGGATTATGTACTGGGAGGACTCCACTCCTTTCTCTGGTGGTGGGATGCCAGGTCCCATATGACTTTAGCCTTCAGACAGGAAAAGGCCACCTGGCAACTTGTCACACTGCAAACAAACAAACAAAGAACAGAACAAAACAAAACCAAAACCAAGTAGCAGTTACAGATGCTGCTGGCCACATGAAGAATTTTCAACCTAAGTTAATATAATCTACCTTTTGCTTTCTTCACATCCCGTTTTTCTTTTCAGACTTCTCCAAGGAAGGCAAAAACTGTCAACTTGCACTTGGAAATAAAACTTGATATAAAACACTACCTACTATTTTTAAATAAATGAAGTAGACATCATCAGAACAACTCCTACGAGGCCAAGTGTAAACAATCTAGAACAAAGAGGTCTTATAGAAATGGCTAATTTCAAGACTACAGAAGGAAATATACAAGATAAGCCTGGAGCATCTTATAGTACCAGAGAAAAAACAGTATTCAAAGAAAATCCCTTAGGTTACATTCAAGGGATAAAGGAACCAACTAAAAGAACTCTCAATTGGGCCAAAGATGAACAATTGGAGCAAAGAAATACTTCAAGTAATGTGGGCTATAACCCAAAGTACAAAATAGATATAAATGAGTCTATATTGACATCAATAATTGATTGAATAAAGGAGGGAGAAACAAACCTTGCGTCCAGGATTCGACATAGTTTGTGTAGATAATCTTCTCTTGAGGAGGTGACATATATTACCGTAAGGTGCTAATAGGAAAAACTGGTTATGGAATATATGGGAACTCTGAATTATTGATGCAGTTTTTCTAAATGCTAAAACAAAGTCTGTTTTTATAATGCAAGTCAGTATTTCCAATGATGAGCCTCACACTTTTCCACGTATGACCTGATGACCTTTTCATGAGCGACATTTACATGTCAAGAATGAATAGCACCAGACACCTCACTTCTAAGAGTTTCCTCAATACTCCCCACCTCCCAAGAAAATTAGAAGGGACCAATGTTGTTTCAAGCCTGTGAGACAGTGGCTTCTGCTGGCCTCCACAGGAGGTGATTGGGCATAACAGGGAGAACTTGAGAGCTACGTGTTGAGGAAAATATAAATAGTATTTATTAGTAATATTAGGAAAAGGCTGGGATTTAAAAGATGAAGTGACTATATTATTTCTCCCTATAAGAAAGATGCTGAATAATAACAACTTGTGATAATTCCATGAAGTTACTTCACCCAGACAAATCAATGTCCACTGAATGCCTGCTGTGTTCCCAGCACAAAGCTAGGCCTTGGCCATAGGTATCAGCTCTAGGTGGCATTTTAATAGAGTTCTGCATACGTAAAATAATTTTTTTTAAATCCTGCAAATTTCAGGTTTATTTTTCTCTTTTCTGATAATAACAAGCAGTATAAATGGCAGATCTAAACCAAAAAGTACTCCTTGCATGTATCTGGTACATCAATCTTTACAGGGGAAAAACACAAATACACACATACCATGTACACACTGTACACGAGAGCTGAACTGAGTTATAAAGGAGAAAGATTTATCACCAAAACACTCCACTAGTCCAAAGCATCAGACAAGTTCTTCATTTCTTCCTAGGGTTAGAGCTATAAGAATACAGCTTCTCATGTATATATAAATAAAATGAAAAAAAAGGAGCACAGAACTTCAGAACAAATATAATATCCACTGGTGAAGGTACCTATTAAAAAACATCGAGAAGTTCACAGATAAGAATGAAAACCAGCCTATTTCCTCCGAAGGAGTGCAAGTTTTAAAACCTGACTGCTCATGGAACTCACCTATAAAATAAAGGAGCAGGGCAAAAGAGGCAATTTTCAAAAGGATATATATTCTGTTTAAGGCTCTTAATGATGACTTATGGACTCAGTAACTAGTTGTTCTAAGGGTACAATTTTTTAGAAACTCCATTCTAGTTTTCACAGTTAGAAAAAAGCATACAAACATTCAAGGCTTTAGAATTAAGTATCAAAATGAACTATTTCCCCAATGTGTATTATTTTTATGAGGTCTTATTGCTCAATATTTCTACTGTGTTAAAATTTTGTTAATTCATCTTTTTCATTGTATCTAGTATCAAAAGAAAACAATCAAGAATTCAGAGCTTTAGAAACTACAAATTTAAGTTAATACCACCTAATTTCTACACAGAGGTCAAGCGAACTTCATTTAGGGAAAAACACAGTTCTTGCTTTACTGATAAAAGAAAATCTATACTGACCAAATAACATATAAAATAACCATAAAGCAAAATAAGGCTAAGCTCTGTCCAAAACTACACAAACTTCACCAAATTTGACATTTCCTCAATTTCCCTTGGCATATGACTAGACAATAATGTTTTTTTGCACATTATATTCACAAGTCCACATGTCTTTTGATTAATTGATACAAATTAGAATTACTGTACTTTCTGATTTCACACAAACTAGAAACAAGATAACAGCTTGCTATTAAAAAAAAACATTTTGTTGCAGAGTAAACAAAGATACAGGCTGGGAAGGAAATAAAACCAGCAACTCCAAAGATACTGGCTCTGAGAAAAAATAAATCCACCAGTGGCTCACAGACTTCAGATGGAAGATGGCTGCGGAACACTAGGAGACCCAATCAAAATATACAACATGGCAGAGATGCATGGAGACGAGCTCTACTTATATGATCGAGAGCCTGGAGCCCAAAATAAAGCAGAAGTGTTATTTTAGCATCACTCAACATAGCATAGTGTTTATGTCCCTAAACAAGTAAGGGAACCATATTTCCTGCAAATTACTGGGTCACCAAATAACTTAAGGATTTATCATCACACACAACTTATCTATGACTCACATGAATTCCAGCAGAAAACCCAGTAATTTTCAGGAAATGCACATTAAGACAATAGAAAAAATTTAGAATTCATTTATCCAGAGCTAATGCAAAGCCTAAATCACAAACATAAAGGATGTGGCCTTGTCAATATTATTCTATGAACCCATGTAAGCCGACACAGTCTAGGCAGCGTACACACCAGTGCCTAGAAAAAAAAAAAAGCATTATACTTAGGACTACACTCAGTTGAGAATGAAATTAAAGGTTGAAAGTCCAGTATTAGAACAGAAACTCTCCATGACTTTAAACTTTTTAGACATCGTGTGCAACTAAAGTTAAACGCCAATAAAATAAAGAGATATAACATTAAATAACTGTGAATGTAAACTAGTGGCCACAGTGTCCTACAGATGCATCATTAGTAACTTCAATTAAAATCAGTTATTCTCCTCATATGATTATAAATCTAGATTTGCTTACCAAACAAATCAAAATGATGTGACTCGCAATAGAATTAACAGAGCTGACTGCCAGACTGAAAAACTTAAACTATCCAACTGACGACATCAATAAATTAATATCCAAATGAAGTGTCTTAAATGTTTGGTATAACCTAGATCAAACAATCTAACTCATGCTAATATTAGAAACGTAACAGAAGCTGACAATTTATATAAATTGCCTAATCTTAGAAAAACTATTACAAGCTGAACAGATCCATATTATTTAAGCAATGAAAATGAGTTGGCTAGAAGCCAGAGAAAAAGCAATGTTCTCTCTTTACAAGTCTTACTTGTTAGTGACAGACCTGCATCTCACCATCTCAGATGAAAACGCCCCTCAGATTTGAAAATACCCTTCAGTCAAATCTAAAGCAGAAAAAATATTTCACCACAAAGGTTTGAAAAGAAAATACATACTGCGTAGTTTTTTTTGTTTTTTTTTTTTTCCAGTACCAGGGATGGAACTCAGGACCTTGACCTTGCCAGGCAGGCAGGGTGCCACTGAGCTACATCCCCAGCCTCACATATTGCATTTTGACCTTTAAAACATACCTCAAATAGTTTAGCAGTTTTTAAAGTTCTAAAACTAACACAAGGCATCTCTCTGGTAACTTGCACATTTAAATAACAGAAACTAGCATTTAATTTTATAAATTTCTGTCTAGCTTTCATGGAAATGGTCAACTGCCCTTGATTCTCATCTACACCAAAAAGGATGCCCTGAATTTTCACCATGGAAGAGTCACTGGTAGGTACTAACTCTGAATCCCACTCAGTACACACTCCCCTTTGGTGTCTAGTTTTAGGTCTCAAAAATACACAAACCCTCAGATCCTCTTAGAAATATCCTTAGCTACTCAAGAGAATTAGCAGAACCGGTAGAGATATTTATTTCTATACAAAGCAAAAAAGTCCAGTAGAACAGGGTAAATAAAAAATCTACAGGGAGTCTATTAGAGAAGGGGACAGGGCCGGGGTAGTAAAGGGGAAGTTATAAAAGCATACTATATGCATATACAAATATGCCAAAATGAAAAGTATTACTCTGTATAATCAATATGGGATTAACCATATTAACTAGTGGAGGGAGGAGTCCTGCTATTTTAAGTACTTGTCTGTATCAAAATTCCTAAACAATAAATATCAGATATTAAAATAACTGTGAGGTTAACAAGTCACTTTATATTCTTGTTAGTGGATATTAGAAAAATCATTCACTTGGCTGATTTCTGAACTAACTCTTCTTTAATTGCTGCACTCATATCCCCTCTTTAGAAATTACATTAACATCCTAAACTTACCTTTAGTATATTTTCAAGGCAGAAACAAATCTGATCACATGAATTAGATGCTTACATTTCAATCTACCAAGTTTTCTGTTAAGGATTTTGAAATGAGAATACCTATGAAAAACACCAAAATTAAGCACCCTATATCCAAACACATCAACATACTCCTTTGATTTTAAATTCCCGTCAAATGACTGTTAACAAGACAATGTACAACTTTTTTTTTCCAGTACTGGGATCTAACCCAGGGTCTTTTACATTCAGCTACAGCCCCAGCCCTTTTTATTTATTTTTATTTTGAGACAGGGTCTCCCTAAATTGCCCAGGCTGAGCTTGAACTTTCAATCTTGCTGCCAAAGCCTCCCAGAGTCCTGAGGATTACAGGCATGTTTTACCACACCAAGCTTTTTATTTTTATTTTTTTTTTAATTTTGAGAAAGGCTCTCCCTAAATCACTACACTGCCCAGGCTGGACTTGAATTTATGAACCTCCTGCTAGTGTGCTGGGATTATAGATTAGACCACTCAGCCCAGTTTGAGTAACTTTTTATAATTTGTCTACAATACGTGAGGTGTAACAACTGTTATCTCTTTGTAATACTTTCAGTGTATATCCTCATTTGTCACATAGAAAAGCCCAAAGAGTTCATTATACATAAGTACTTTGGGGGCCGATATTGCATTCATTCTATTCACACTCTTAGAAGGTACAGAAATTCATTTTCCTTCAAGCCATATATTCATCTTCACCTACGTAACCACTGTCAATTAGGTTTCTCAAAGTATTTCCTGATGCAGGTAGAAAAAAGGAAATGGCAGAAATAAGGGGGAAAACAGTAAATTGTGGTTTAATTAAAAAGCAGAGTCATTCAGAATTAACAAGCAATTAACATGGAATTGAAGAATTCCTAGGAGAGGAAGGAAGGTGGGGGAGCTACAAAAAGGTCTCAAAGTCTCAGAGCAGAGTGCATGACACAGTGTATCAAATGATAATACAAAACACGGAAACACTTACACAGGGAGAAAGGAGAAAAATACGGCTCTGGAGTAGAGAAGTTATTAAAATATTAAGGCTCAGGCATGGGCAGTGTTTTTGTTTTTGCTAGGAAACCAGGGTCCAGAAAAGGGTGCATTCCCAAGCAACCACCCTGGAAATAAAGCACTGCTTAACGAGGTAGGGGCCAAGAATAAACAATGGGGGAGGGGACGGCTGGCTCGTTACCTCGACAGGATCCTGGCCAGAGACACTGGGCTCGCCGCTCCACTGGTGGGTGGGCAGACCCTTTCCTGCTCTCGAGTGTCCTCCAGCCAGCTCAGCCCTGGAAAACAGAAGCCACTGAGTGATGCACCGCACAGGCCAGGAAGAGAGGACTCTGAGGAGGGGCAGCGAAGCCAAGAACTGGAGGATGGCAAGAGCAGGTAGGCAGAAGCAGTGATCCTCCTCCCTCCCGCCCCTCCAGGCAGCCCTCTTCCCCTCTGGGGAGGTAACTGACTTTACCTGTGTCCTCAGCTGCTGCTCCTCTTCCTCTTTTCAGCCTCCTCCACACTCACCAACTTCTCCATTGAAGAAGCACCCCGGGCAGGGCCAGACTTGGGTGTTCCCGATCCTCCTCGGTGTCTCACGGCCCCATCTGGGAGAGCATCTAGGCAGTCGAGCAGGCGAGGGTGGCCGTCCCGGCTGCCGGGCAGCCTTGGGGCACGGGCGCCGGGACGAAGTCCCTGTTCGGGCGGGGGGGGCAGTCCCGGTCCAGGGGCTTGGAGCAGAGGACTGCCGCACTCCGGGCCGGAGGCTTCCAGCGAGGGAGGGACTCGGGACGTCTCGGGACAGCGAAGTCTCAGCTCGTACAGGGCCTGAAGTGCCAGCAGCTAGGTCTCCGGACAGGGGTCTTTCGGGATGCACTTTACACTGGGCCACCCCCGCCCCCTCCCTCCAGCACTTTGGGGTCACTGGGATGGGACCAAGCCCTCAGCAGCCAATCAGCGGCCGCACTGAAGCCTGAGCCCTGAGCCGTAAACCAGGTCCGGAGAGGGTGGGGGTGTGAGGGGGGGGCGACTTGGTTGGTTGGTTGCTTCCTTCTCTCCTCCTTTCCCCAGCAGCCCCCACCCTCTGCTTGCCGTAAAGCTGCCTGCTGATTCGCGACATTAAAGGGAGGCGTGTCATTCTGGGCTGGGACTCGTCTCCGATTGGCCTCATTCACTTCCTCCTCAACTTCCCCGAGGCTTCCGAGGCTCCGCCCCCTAATGGAGGGACTCGAAGCGGTTGCTAAGAAACCCTGTACACCGAACGGGTCCTTTGCGCATGCGGGAGAAGAGACACGGTTGTTATTTCTTTTCGTTTTTTTTTTTTTTTTTTTTTTTTTTTTTTTTTTTTTTTTTTTTTGATTTTTTTTTTTTTTTTCCTGTGAACTACGGTGGCCTAGAAGGGGCAGATGTGAATGGGAATGGCGGAGCCAAGGTAGAGGGATTTGAGCCAGCTTCCAAACAGGTAGGTAACCCCAAAGTTGTTGAGCTGTGCTCCCGGAGAGGCGTGTGTGACGGACTAAGGGGCTGTTCGGGAGTTAGGGAGGCAGTGGTCTCCAGAAAGCGAGAAGGGCGCCGTGTTCGCCGCATTCCTCAGAGCTTCTGAGTGCCTGTCCTTGGCGAGTCTGCCGGTCTCGAGACCGCCTGCCAGCTGGGGATGGTTCGCTTACCGGGAAGGAAGCACCCTGGAGGGCTTTCCCGCAGGGACCGCGATCCTCACTGCCTCCTGTGAGTGCAGGGAACTGCAGGGTGGGGAAAGCAGGAGGTGAACATATTAAAACGTATTTATTAAGTGCATTTCATCATTTATCGAGTGTGCTGGCTAGGCAGTGTTGTAATCGTTGGGGAGACAACAGTGAGCGAGATAAATACAATCATTTGCTTTCATTCAATCAGGTGAAACAAAACGATCAGGGACCGGCTATACCAAGAAAATGGAGCAAAATAATGGGCTCGAGTTTGACTCGTACTCGATAGCTGTTTTAAGTAGTAAGGGAAGTTCTCAGAGAGGTAAAATTTGAGCAGCAATGTGAATGGCACAGAGCTAGCACTCGGTGGTTATGATGAGTGTTTTATTCTGGGTGACAACAGATACGGTTCTGGTACGGTTTGGGGACCTGAGTGTAGTGAACAGCGCCAGCGAAAGCCCAGGCAGAGTAGTGGATTCCCACCATCTGTCTTTGTAGCCCAATTTAGCTCAGCTGTACCTAGCAGGCAGGGGACGTGGGGCTGGATAGAGAAATTGTACTCTTGACCCCACTGCTCCGGCAAAAAGATTACTGAAAGAAGGAAGTTCACTGGTAGCTTTTGAGTTCCTACAGTGTAACGCTCCTCCTGGTAATGTAAACGATTCTGTACCTCATACTTTACCACACCACTTTAAGATGTGGCTTCAATGTGTTCCCCTTGTATTGAGCGCCTTGTCAGGCATGATATAACGGCTAAATAAGCTCAGAACTCAATTCCTATATGCCTCCTTCTATATACTATATTGATGATTTTCTGTTATAAAATTCGTATTATAACTGAAAATTCAGAAGTTAAATATTGCATTGTACTGGGGGCTGGCGACATAGTTCAGTGGTAGAGCACTTGCCTAATAGGCACAAGGCCCTGCTTATGATCTCTAGCACCATGAAAGGAAAAACAAAGAAAGACGTTTCAGGAATTTTAAAAATTTCTTTGAGATCAAAATAGTGCTAAAACTTTGAGTGTAGGAATGATGCTCGGTGGTACAGTGCTTTCCTAGTGTGCATGAGGCCCTTCAACCCCCAGCGCGAGAAAAATATATAAATTAATACTTTAGAATTATTTTAGACATGTACACTGCTAAGTTTATCTTCATCTAGAGATATATTCAACAAATGTAAGTGCTTCTTGTGTATAAGACTCTGTGTTAAGAGCTACAGAGAAGTAGAGCAAGCAGACAGTTCTTACTGAGGAATAGTCTAGCAAGGGACACATAAAAATAATTGGATAGACAATTAAAAACCAGTTAGGACACACTTGTAAGACAGCCCTAGTGCTGAAAGGCTGAGTGCATCATAGGAGGCCTGGCCTCAGAAAAAGTCACAGTTAAAGCAAAAGGAAACGTGGGTGGAAGAGCTGTCTAGATAGACAGAACAGTGTTGTATCAAAGTCCAGAGGAAGGAAAGAACTTTTCTAACTAAAAGGAGAATATCGTCATTCTCCTACTGAAATTAAGTAAATGTTTTCACCATATAGGCCATTTGCTTTTGTGTATGTTTATAAGTACTGCTTTGCTGAAGTAGGCACGTGACTTTTTTTTTTTTTAAATCGACTGTGAAAACCAATTCTTATCACAGAATCTGTGTGAAATGCTAAGTAAAATCTGAGTTCTATAGATACTCCCTAAATTCGACCCTGCCACTCACTGGTGGCAGATTTTGAGGGGAGGGGCTGTGGCACAGAGGGAACAGGTGTGAACTGGTAAAGGGGAATAAATAAAGAAAACTTGTCTTTGAAAGTTGTTACTGTGAAAGACAATTTAAAACAGACTCATATTTTTAAAACAATAGAGAAATTTTGTTTTTGTAAGATTACAGTAGAGATTTTCCAGGTTTGAGGTTTTTTTTTTTTGTTGTTGTTGTTGTTGTTTTTTGGCTTGTTAAGACAGGGTCTGGCTATGTAGTTCAGGCTGACCTTGGACTCAGTATGTAGCCCAGGCTGGCCTCGAATTTGTGATGATCTTTCTGCTTCAGCATCCTAAATGCTGGGATTACAGGCCCAGTTTTTAAAAAGCACTCACACTAATACAATATATTAACATAGGAAGCTCATATTTCTCTTCAGTAAAATCAAGTAAATTAGTAAGAGGTTTGCAAGGTGTAATCCCTCATCCAGTTCTTGGACTCTCCCCAGACTTAAGAAATCAGAACCTCTGGGGGTTTGCCCAGCTGTCTGTGTTCTAAGAAGCCTTTCAAGGAATTCTGACGGTTTATGAACACTGGTCTAGACCATAGTCAAGAATTCTTCTGGGCCGGGGATTTAGCTCAGTGGTTCAGTGGACTGCCTTGCAAGCGCAAGGACCCGAGTTCAATCCCCAGTACAAAAAAAAAAAAAAAAAAAAAAAAAAAAGAATTATTCTGTCCTACAACTATGACTTGTGAGGGGTCGGGATTGGTGCTGAGGATCCACCCCAGGACCTCATGTTTCTGGGCAAGCACTACCACTAAGCTACATCCACAGAATCCTCAGCCCAAAACTATTATTCTGATGTCCAGCACCAATCTGTGCAGTATTAGAAAAAAGTTATCCTTGGAGTGGTCAAATAATAAAGCTCTCTGGGAAATGAACATGTGAGTATTTCTATTGATTAAGTTTATGCTAAATGCTGCACTCTTACTGTTATTCCAGACTCAGAGAACAATGCTACTTCATTACTTGTCTAAAAAAAATACAGGCTCTTTATGTATCTATCCAGCAGCATTGGATTTCCATATACCTGCATCTGCCCCATTAAAGATAAACTGGAAGAGGCCCAATCAAGTTATTGGGAGTTCGGATGACTGTGGCCTCTGGCTTTTTCACTGTTTCCCATCTTTGAGATCATGTCCTGGCCCCCTCGGTAAGGCCTGGTATCTGTTTTTGGTGCTTGCCGCATACCTCAGTGAGAATCAGATGCCCAGTACAGTGTTTTACTTCATTTTCTTACAAAGCAGGGAAAGAGGATGCTATCTTTCTCAAAATAAACCATGTTCATTCATTTCTCACAAACAGTTTTATGTCATACATAGTAACACAAAGAAACTATAAAGAAGGAGCTTGCTGGGCAGACCCTGGATTGGATATTTCAGGAATCCCTGTATGTAATTTCACCTTCCCTACTTCGTATGAGCTGCTTATCACCCTTGTGCACCGTGAGCACTAAGAGAGACTGAAGCTTTGAGGGTAATTTGCCCCATGGTGACTGGTGTGGTGGGGCCGTTTGACTCCAGGTACCAGGGCCTTATGGAGATACCATAAGGAAAACTTTTCCTTTAACAGTAAAACACTTTTAGGTATTACGTGTTGTATCTGTAACTGAATCACCAGCCTTTTCCTTCATGTCAAAATAAATGAATAAAATTCCTAGCCATTGTCAGAATACCAGGATAAGTTTAAAAGGAAGACAATTTACAAACACTACACAGCGTTTGAGTTCTTAGTGTCTCAGCAATACACTGGGAATTTAAGAACCGAATTATCAAGGAAGATCAGGTCTGAAATGGCTTGGGTGTAGCCTTTAAGTCTCATTGATACTGATGTTGGCCAATATTTGAGCATGAAAGTGTTGAGGAAATTAGCAAGGAGTAGTGCAACACCCAGGTGGTAGTAACAGGGTAAGGAGAGGCTTAGTTCCAGGCGCGTAGAGAATGGCCTGTCTCTACTCCTCCTTCCACTTTCCCCTTCCTCCTTCCAGCTCCCACAACTCCTAGTGGAGCCATCTGGAGCCCTGACAAAGGTGAGGAGTACAACTAGCCAGGCAAGGGAAGACACCAGCGCTCAGTGCGCTGTTTGGAAGATACCCACCCTTCTCCTTTTCACAAGGGAAGGAGGTTCTCTCAAGAGGCAGACCAGACCCATTTTATTCCTCTGGCAAACTTAACGCTATCTTGATGGAGGAGGGAACCAGAATCCCAGAAGACACCTTTCTTTGCCTCAACTTTTCCTTTAAGTATCACAGCATCTGGACTAAGTATCCTTTCAGGCTGTGATCTGATAGAACCTGTTGTGGAATGAGGCTGCAACGCATCACTGAGTCTATTAGCAAACTGCATGCAGAAGCCAATTCATTATTGGCCATGAAGATGGATATTTTTCTGTTTTCTGAATTTAAAGAAAACCTTAAAGAGACAGTGACATTTTTTATACCACATAAAAAGGAAAGTTTAAATTTCTAGCCACTTGTTCTTTGGTAATTTTGAAATTAAGTCATGAAAGTATTTTCTAGACTTAGACATTAGAAAATATTTTTTTTTTATTGAGTTTATTGGTACATTTAGGGATACAGTACAGTTACATTCATTGTTGGGATCATGTACCTTTACATGGCAAGTCTTGATTCTCATTTTTTTCCCCTTACCTCTGCCCTCCCAGAAAATATTTTTAACATTTCTAGATACAGTTCTGTTTCATTTTTGGTTAGAGATTTTTAAGGTCAAATTTCACTGTGATGAAAAGTTAGTTACTTTTCTCTTGTTGCTGAGACAAAATACTCAACAGCCAAAGACAGAGGGGAAGGGTTTATTTGGCTTACAGTTCACAGAAGTTTCAGTCCATAATCAGCCGACTCCAAGGCAGGGATGACAAACGGGCCTGGAGGAGCAGAGACAGCGGGGTGCACACAAGACAGCAAAGTCAGCGAGAGAGTTTAACAGCGTCTTTCTGCTGCGTTTATCTTGCTCATACTGCCGGGATGAGGGCTGTGTCAAGCTAATCACTCACATGTAGTGGCTTAGTAATCACACACCCTTGACCCCAGCAACTACCTATGAAAAAGAAAGTCCCACCTCATCCGCATGAGGATTTGGGGGAACATCTAAACCGTAATGATACATATTCAATAACATTTTCATGGATATTATGGAATCCTATGTATATTAATGCTAAGAATCAAAAGACTGTTATCTATGACTGAAATTGTGTGTGTGTGTGTGTGTGTGTGTGTGTTTTACATTGAGGCAACTCTAGAAACAGAAGCAGGTCTGAGAAATAGTGCAATGCAGAGGGTGCTGTGTAACCTTTGCCTAGTTCCCCCCTTGAGAACATCTTGTCGACTAGTACAGTACAGTATCACAGCCAGGATCTTGACATCAGCACAATCCACCAGTGCTATTCAGATTTCTCGTTCTACTTGTATTCATTTATTCATATGTATACTTAGCTCTGTGCAGAGTTGTCATTCACACAGGTCTGTGTGTCCCCTGCCAGCTCCTTTATTCTGGGATCCCCATGTGTAAACTCCCTAATTGTGTCCATTGAGTGGAAGGGTGCTTCCCTACCAACTGGCAAACCCTAGCCTACTCTTCATTCTTTATTTCATCGTTTCGTGAATTGAATCATACAGTGAGCATTCAGCCTTCTGAAGTTGGCTTGTTCCCCCCAACATAATCCCCTCTAGAGCCAGCCACATTGTTACATGTATCAATAATTCTTTCCTTGCTGCTGCTGGAAAATTTTGCGGCATGGTATTGATGGGCCAGAATTTGTTTAACCATTTACCCAGTGATGGACATCATGTACAGGTTTCAGGGTAAATAGCTCTTCATTTTTCTGGAGTAAATGCCAAGTGTCAATTACTGATCCATGTGACAGACACATGCTTAGTTTGTAAGAGACTGTCGATCCGTCTTCTGGAGTAGCTGTACCCTTTTACATTCTCACCAGTGTTGTGACGGAAATCTAGTTTCTCCACCTCCTTGTCATAGTATTTGGTGTCACTGATTTTTCTTTTAGCTATTCTGATAATGTTATTTTACTGTACTTTTCATTTGCATTTCCCTGATAGCTCATGTGATTAGACATCTTCTCATGTGTTTATCTGACATCTCTGTGTCCTCTTTAGTGAAATGTCTGTTCAAGTGTCTTACTGAATAATAATTCTGAATTAAATTATTTTTATTACTATTATTTTGCATATGTAGTACTGGGGATCAAGCCCAGGGTTGCTCTACCCCTGAACTATATCCCTAGCCCTATTTTTCATTTTGAGACAGGGTTTTGCAAGTTGCCCAGGCTGGCCTCAAACTTGAGACTCTCCTACTTCAGCTTCCTGGATAGTGGGATTACAGGCATATGACACTATGCTCAGCCCTAATGTAATTATTTTTTTCTTACTGAGTTTTGAGCATTCTTTACATAGTCTAGATACTAGCCATCGGTTAGACACACATTTGCAAGTACAGTATTTTCTCTCAGACTATAGCTTGTCTTTTCACTTTCTTAATAGAATTTTTTGTAGAGAAAAACTTTTTAATTTTGTTGAGGTCCAGTGTATCAGTTTTTATATTTAGAAATCGTGTTTTTGGGGTCAAGGCTAACAGTTCCATGCTTGAACACTTTCTCTTATGTTTTTTCTAAGAGCTTGTATGTAAGTTTTATGACCATGACCCATTTTGAGTTTTTTTTTCCATTAAGTTTATTGGTACAATTTAGGTATACAATACAGTTACAGTCATCACTGGGATCTTGTACCTTTACATTATGTATCTTGGTTCTTATTTTTTCCTCATGTCCCTGCCCTCCCTTCATCCCTTCCACCTTTCCCTATTTGCAAAGACTTTGTTTCCATTTTTTCCTTTTTTCATATTTTTTCTTTTCCTTTTTTCCTTTCCCCACCCTTCCTCCTTCCTCTACTCCTTTAGACCTTTTATTTCTATTTCACATTATCAGTTATACCATTTTAACCTTATTTACACTTTTCGTTTTTCACACCAGAGAAACTATTCGTATTTACGTGTCCTATTTATTTCACTTAAGAGTGTGCCTCAATGTACATCCATTTAGCTATAAGTGTCTCTAGTTTCTCATTCTTTATGGCTGAGTAGTACTCCATTTGAGAGAAAAACTACATCTCCTTCATCTAGTCTCCAGTTGATGGACAATTGGGTTGTTTCCATGTTTTAGCTATTATGAACTGTGCTGCTATAAACATGGGTGAGCATATATCACTGTGGTATGATTCGTTGAATTCTTACATTTTGAGTTATTTATTGGAGAAGAGTGAAATTATTCTAAATGAAGTAAAACCACTGTCTCAGTCTTTGATTCATAGTACTCTTAAACTATGGATAAACTGATAACAAAATAGAATCAGTAAGTAGTTTGGCTTTTCATGGGGGGTTGGTATATTTGGTGGAGCTACTGAAAGTAAATTTAATATAAAAATTCAGTGAATTGGATATCCTCACTTAATGTCTCAACCTTTAGTTGCTGAGAGTCTTTTGAAAAAATTTTTCTTCATTTGTATTGGGAAGCTTCATAATCATTGTAAAAACGGACCTGAGGACTGTTACTCTGTTTTTTGTTTTGGCACAGTCAGACGTCAGAGACTAGGCTGTGTGCTATCTGCTTACATTTAGGAAATTTATATGAGTCCTTCTCCTCATCTGCTCTCCTGTACTTGGGGTCCCCAGAGGAAGTTTGAAGGATGCCTCAAAAGAATTGTAGAGGGCATAGACTCTGAATTTCTCAGCTTCAAATTGTGACTCCGCTGTTTCTTAACTAGCTCTGTGATGTCACCTCTTTGTGCCTCAGTTTCCCATCTGTAAAATGGGTGTGATAATTGACACATAAGATTGTGATGTTCACAGAGAGACTTTTGGAGAACTGTGTTTGGTACACAGTAGACACTGAGTAAAGTTTAGCAGTTATTAATCATAAAGCATAATTTTATTAATTTTATTTAGTGATACAGATGTTGTGTGAGGGTTCTATCTATGATCATGTAATTTTAAGTCAGAATTTAGTTAGCAATTGCCATAATATAGTTAGACCACTAGCAGTCTAATTTCAGATTTTCATCTTTACATTGGAGGTAAAGGTTATTGAATTTGAGTTATCCCAGTGGACCTGAACTGGCATGATTTTCCCCACAAGGGAAATTTGACAAAATCTGCATTTTGGGTTGTCAAAATTTGGTGCATGAGGTTGAGTGCTTTGACACATCGAGGGTAGAAGTCAGGAGCATTGCTTAACATTTACAGTTACCAAGACATCTTTCCCATAAAGAATAACCTGGTTCCAAATGTTAACAGTGCCAAGGTTGAGAAACACTGGCACGCCACTGAAAAACGTTAGAGGAATGCTGCCATTTCTGCTATGATAACATTAAAATGATTTTATGTTCTTAAATCTGTATGGAGAGCATCCATTTCATAATTACGGTCTTATTCTTATTACAGTTTCCCATTTTAGAAATTCACCAATCGGCTTTACCTTTACTTTGAGACAGTGATTAAGTGGCAACCACTGTCTTTCTCTTATAATATGTGTATGTACCATTTATAATTTTAATAATTATAATTATTTATAAAAATGGTTTTCTTGTTTTAGGCTTCACTGAAGAGACATGTTAAAGATTCATCACTTCTCTAAAATACCAGTATTTACAACTTGTACTTGTCAGCCTTTGTAGAAGACACATTTTGGAAATCAAAATGAATGCTTTCTATGAAGTTTTAGATCAGTTATACAAGAAGGTACTTCTTGGAGCTACACTTGAAAGTGACAGCCACAAGTACGTCTTTTATCTCAACCCAGCACTTTCAGATCAAGAGTGTGCTACAACCCTGTCTGTGGAATGGCCGGACACAGATGGAGTGCAGGACAGGCATCAGCCACCCCCTGTCGAGGTGACTGCCACTCCTGCAGCAGGGGTTTGTGTGAAGAGAATCTCTCAGACAAGCAGTGTCCGAGAGACGAAGCTCCTTCAGCTAACTGTGATCCATGTGATGATATCCAGGGTAGTGTCTGTGGAGACTGAGATCCATGCACAGGAGAAATACAGAGATATAACTAAAATTCTTTTACACTCAGCTGAGGTCGATTGTAAATTGGTAATCCATTTTCCTTTTCTAAGATTTAGATATGTAAAGTAAGAGTTCTAAAACATTTAACCGTAGTGATTAAATGTATTTGTTTTTCTATAGATTTGCTTGGTCCAAAATTCAGACAGATTGTTGTCTCATATGGCTGCAAAGTGTCTGGCATTGCTTCTCTATTTCCAGTTGAAAGAAAAGGTAAGATAAGTAATCAGATTGTATTACTGTTTCTCTTCTGATGTCTTTAAAGTTGCTCTTTGACATTTGATTTTGCTCCTTTAGATATAGACATTCCTCATTTGATGACCAGTTATGGTCATGTGACTATGCAACGAGGTCATTAATTGAGTTGGTCGCTAAATGAAGAATTGTATGTAGTATGTACATTACAATATTCAGAACAAAGAAATGGTGAAAGGAAACTCCAATTTGATGACTTTGTTTTTATTTGCATAACTCTTAAAGACAGTACTGTAATGTATAACAATATACAGCAATACTGTATGGTACAATCAGCAAAAATTACCATACTGTACAACAAAAAGACATTGGGGCTCTATCGAGTTGTACAGAACTGTACAAAAAAGATGGGTCATAAGTTGGAACAGTTGTTAAACAGGGAGGTTGTTAAGCAAAGAATATCTGTATTTGTATTAATAAAATGTTTACTCACATAGTGATGTGTAAATCTACAAACCGTAAGAATGAAATAATATGGTTGCTTGTATCAAGAATTAGTCTTAAATGTATTGTAAATCATAATAATCACTCTTAACAGAAGAGGTCAGTTTCAGGCCACAGCTTTATTTATATTCTTAAGTCAGTAGTATACCTTCCCCCCAAAAAGATTTAGGAACTTCTACTTGAGATCAAGGTCATTTTCACAGATTTGATATAAATAAATTCTATGAATGGTCCTTAGTATAACAAAAAATGACACGAACAAATTCAAAGTCAGATTTCTTTTTACCTCTGAACAAATTAATAAACAAGTCTGAGCATCTACTGACTTTTTTCTGCTATTGTCAATTCTATTTTAAAATAACATTTTTCTGAATATAAAAGATGTTATTTATAGTGGAATATTTGGAAAATGGATCAAAGTGTAAAGAATAAATAATTATATTTCATTATACCATGTATATGCTAGTATTTTCATGTTTCCTTTTGGTATTTTTATGGCATATTGAATTTCTTGACTTAAAAAATATTAAGATATTTCTCTTCCTTATTTTACCAAATTTTATCATGCTTTTCTAAGGCAAACAAATAGACAGTGTTGTATATTGTATTGTGTATAGTAGGTAATTTGTAACTCTAAAGAAAATATTGTTTTTTTAAAAGTTTTTATTAGTACTACTTTTATATAACAGTTGCTTTCATTGTGGGAGGTTGGCACATGCATATAATACCTTAATTTTTTTTAAACTATCTTTTTCTGTTTTCTCACTTGTAGATAACATTAAGTAGTTACTGGAGTGTTTTTTGCCAAAAAAATCTTTCTGAATACTCTGAGAGTAATGAAGTAATGCATTGCCTCTGGATTCTTATAGCTGTAATAAAAGAAGTCTTTAAAGACACATGTTCAGAAAAAGCAGGTATGATTACATTGCCCCATATAGGACTGTCGCCTTGCCCCCAGAAACATTATATTTATAATGAAGAATAAAATTTATATTTGATTTCTCTTGAAGTATGAAAAACTAAAGAAGGTAACTTTTAAAAGGAAAAAAAAATTAAATGTTTTCATTATTATATATATCCCTTGCATAGTTGGATGCTGTTTATATTTGTAAATGAATGTTAAATATCGTTATTAGTTACTGATCTTGTATCATTATTTGTTCTTGTTGGGGCAAATATTCCAGATCTTGTGTTTTTATCCTATACAATGTATTTGTACAAATTCAGTTGTGAAATTGTATTTTAAGAAGCCTTTGTTTTTCCTGTTGCTTATGATTACTGTTCCTATTATTGCAGAAATTCTAAAGCAGTTCCTGACTACTTTTGACAATACTTTTGAAGTGTTCTACAGTTCCTTATTTTCCCAGCATTTTGAAAACTGCCAGGATCCTTCTAAGATAGTAAACAGCTTAGTGAGTTTCTTGGACTTACTTGAACTTCTCATAGCCTCCAGAATCTACCTGAAGTTACATTTCAGAAGCCAGAGGGTTTTATTTTTGAAACCTTCTTGCGTGCTAGACATTCTTACCTGGCCTATTCAGGCTTTTGTCAAAAGGAAGTTGATGATATTTATCAAAAAGTGCCTTCTGTGCAAGGTGGGCGAAGACCTGTGTCATGCATCTGTGCTTGTCACAATGTCACCAGACCACCATTTAGATGTGGACATGTTGGCTTTAGCTAATGCTGTTTTGCATACTGTGAATCTGGGCTTGTTGAAGACATGGTCTGTTGATGGAAAATGGCCTTGCTTTGGAGGTAAAGAAGTTCATCCTGGATGTGGAGATACTGCTGGTCCAGATCATGTGCTCCTTAGAGCTGCAAGCTTAGTTATAATGAAGTCTCTCGAAATCAAATTTCGAAATTACACATCTGTAAATGAAATGAAAGGTAATTCTTCAGACTCCTTTTTATGCCTAGTAATAAATTATTAGTTTATCATTATCAAATCTCAGGGCTAGTATAAATTCCACTAATTCAAGCTATATATTCTCCTGGTTATAATTTATTAAAAATATCCCATCAGTGGGCTACACAAGTCCCAAAGTGGGAGGAGTTCATTAAATTCAAGTGTTTGTAGTATTTTATCAATTTTTTCATTCATTTTAGTAGTACACCTGCTTATGTAGATTATTGATTATTATAAATTAAGTTGACTGTGAGAAGATAAATATTGCATAATTAACTCAAAATTTCAGAGACTGCCTTATAAAGTATAATTTTCAGTATAGGTAGTGGGGAAGGCAGCTCCTTCTGTTTCACAAATACATAGTAAAGTCTCAGACAAGCAGCATGTACTTTTCATGAGAACTTTGAAGTGTAAGCAGCAGCTTCCCTGGGCTGCTGTGGATATCATTTAGTTTTTAATAGCTACTTAGTTGTTGTTCTCTGCAAATATAGTTTACAACACTAGGTGGCATCTGTTATATAATTTAGAGTTTAAAATTGCAGTCAAAACTCCACAGACTCTTGATTTTTTTTTTTTTTTTTTTTTTTGGCTTAATAGTAATACTTCTAATGCTTTAACAAAAATATTTTTCTGTTATTTTAAAGACAAAAAAGGTTTTGGTTTGGGTTTTGGGTTTTTTGTTTTTTGATTATATTGTTGTCTTTAGTAATAGTTATAGCCAGTGAGCAGATCTCTGTTTTGGACTCATTTATTGATACACTTTTAGCAAGAAACCTAGTGACATTTGTTCTCAGAGTTACTGTAATTAGTTATTTGGCAATTGTGGTAAATAAGTGATCTGTACATTTTAAATGAATGCTATTTATTCAGTCACTGTTTTCCTGAGCCTCAGCTTCTGAAGTTACAAAATAGAGATAATCCCTGACACACAGGACTTTTTGAAGGTGTGAATTATGATAATATACTTTAAGATACTTTAGACACTTGAAATATTAATGTATTCACAAACTGTTACCTACACTTTGAAATTTGCATTTTTCAAAGTTGATTTACAGAGGTTCATGTCTGAGTTACTGACCTTCTTAAAGCCTCACCTTCAGCCCTCTCTGCAATTACACAACCCTTGTGAATGGCTGTCTAGGGTCTTCATAGAACAAGATGACGATATGCTGGAGGCTGCAAAAGCATCACTGAGCATTTACTTACAGTTGTCCAGGTTAGTGTATTTCAAGTAATTGTTGAGCTTCCTGCAAGCCAGAAAAATAGGCAAAATTTCAGAAGATGTGCCAGGCATATTATTTACTCTCCATCATTGGGGGGAAATCTTGTGCTTTGCTCATAAGTTCCATTTCCTTTCTTTAACCCCACCTTACATAAAAACAGGATTACACTTACATTATTATGAATATTTGGCTGGCTGGCGGATCAGGGGTAGAGGTAGACTGGGATCTGACAACTCACAGTCCTGTTTAACCGCCACCTGTTTTACCTGTGTGACTGGGGGTGAGCTAGTATGCTTCTCTGAATCTCAACTGATGTTTGAGTCCAATTTTCATCTCTAAGACTTGCTTTTCTCTGTTAAGTTTCTGTAAGATGATTTTTGTTTTTGTGAAAGGAAGTACAAACTTACAAATAATCAAAGGAGCTGTTCCAAATTTTCCCTTTATTATACAGCCACATTTGGGCGAAAACCTTCTGAAGATACGTATCTGAAATTATGTTACTGATGACATTTATTATATGTTTCTTCTGCTTTATTAAAACAGCTGTACTTGCAGCAATATCTTCTTGCGGCAAACATCTATAATTGCTTACGAAGTTAATAACTAGTGACCTTTTCCACTATTTCTGCTTTGCTTTATTAAAACCCTAAAATATTTGCTTTATTTCCATTTTTCTCTTGGCCTGAGAGAAAGGCATTTCTTACTAATGATCAGCGGCGCAGCATTGTGCTGCCAGTACTTACTGTGTTGTGACACTTCTGGCAGTGGCTGCTCTCAGACTATGAGTGTATGGGGCCAGTTTTCAAAAGGTCTAATCAAGAACATGAAATTCCTACATATGATTTGAATTAGGCTCAAAAATATTGAAAGAGAAATTCAGACTGAAAATGTACATGCCTGTGTAAGTATCTTCATTGTACTCAAAGCTGATTTCTTACTCCCCAAGGAAAATGGAGCCTCTGAATTAAATTTGATTTATGTGGGAATTTCTCATTTTCTTAACTTCAGTTCAGTGTGCCTGGACAGGTATATATTTTCATGGCATGTATACTTATTTTTTCCAATGTATCAGTTACATTTTTATTTTGGTTGTAAATGAGAGAAACTAATGGAAACTAAGCAGAAAAAAATTATTGGCTCATGATTGGAAGTTCTAAGGGATCAAGTTGGCATCAGGTATAACTATATACAGGGATTCAAATCATGCCATTAACTGTTTCTCTTTTACACTATTTCACAACTCTGAATTTATTCTCAGATGTGGCCACCAGCGATTCCAGGCTTATATAGGTCTTATAGTTATAATCTTTCATAGTGCCAATAAAAACTAGGGGAGATCTGAGTAGCCCATTTGGGTCCTGGGTTCTTATCAGAACCAGTCATTATGGCCAGGACCATGAAGCACTGAATGGTCAGCCTATGTCACATGCCCAGCTCCATTGATGGGTCAAGGAAGGAGGTTTAGGCTCCACCCCACCCATGTAGTTGGCTGCCCATGAAAATGACGGGTTTCTATATTAGGAAAAAGGACATTTTGGAAAGACAAAAATAACATCTGCCAAAGTCAGTGGGCTTTATTTTATTGAGTCAAATTTATTTAGAGTTTTGGGGAAAGGAATGGTTTTAATTTTTTCTTTTAAAGTAATGCATAGATTAAAAAGTAATCAGGTAAATTTATGGTTTGTGAATTATGTTTGTTACATTTCAAAAAGTCATTAATCTGGGTTCTCCATTATCTTCATTTTTAGAGAATATGAATCTACTGGAAGTTTGACCCAAGAAAAAGAAATGTGGATGCATCACACACATGAAAATGGCTATAATCCTCACTGTATTTTTATATTCTTCTTAAAAAATATAGGATTTGATTCTACGGTTCTTCTTGACTTTTTGATTTCCTCAGAGACCTGTTTTCTTGAATATTTTGTTAGATATTTAAAGTTACTACAAAAAGACTGGGATAATTTTTTCACCATTTGCAAGGTCTTTGATGCAACTGAAATTCAACCTGGCATGAATATTTGTGGTTGTGTCCCCTTGCTCGTCCAAGACCAAAGCAGCCACCAAATGCCACCGTTTGACGGTTTGACTGCTCCTGATAGTCACATACATGCTCATACTTGTCTTCCCTGGGCTTCTGGTGATTCTTCAGAACTTCTGAAGCAGGATGTGATGTCTAGTGAGACCCACACCACGAGCGATCATAGTCCACCTTCTCCTCACGCTTCTCACACTCTGGTAGACTATGACAGCTCTGATGATTCTGGAGCAGAATCCATGGACCAGCATGTAACAAACAGCCAACAGACATCTTACAACCCACAAGCAAGCAGGAAAATTCAGGACCCAGCTGGGACAAGTAGGTATAAAAAGGAACTTAGCCTACAGCCTCAGTCAAGTCCTCTGGTTCCAAAACAATCTGCTGCTTCTTTCTCCATTGACTGTGCAGTAGCCCCAAATAATATTGTTGCTGAAGAAGGGATATTTTACAGAATAGTCAAATGCTTTGAAGAGCTACAAGGTGCCATTTACCGTTTGCAAACGAAAAATCTCTTCCCATATAACCCAGCTGCACTTTTAAAGTTGTTAAAATGTATGGAAGTAATATATAGTAAAAGTGTCAGCCTTTTGTAAAATGTGGCATTTTTTTAATTCCAGGAATTGTTTTTCTTTAATATAAATTACGTATTAATGAGGTAATAGTTTTAAAAACAAAAACACAGCAAAAAGGTTTCCTAAATCATCTTTCTTTTGCCTTCTTAGACACATCATGGTGCCTGAAAAAGAGACATCAAATAACAAGACACTTGATACAGTTCTGTGTTGCTTGCAACTCATGGCAGTTCAAGCTTACACAAAGTTTGGAATGGTTATTGTATCAGAATCTTAGGGCTGTCATAACAAATTACCACACCCGTAGTTCAAAACTGAAATTTATTCTCTAATGGCTCTGGAGGCTAGAAATGCAAAATCAGGGTGTTGGCAGGGCATGCTTTCTCTCAAGGCCATAAAGAAGAGTCTTTCCCTGCTTCTGGTAGTTGCCAGCAATGCTGAGTGTTACTTGCCTGTAGCTGCATCACCCCATTCTGTATCTCACGTGATATTCACCCCTGTGGGCATGCCTGTGCCCACTTTCTGTCTTATTGGGGCACCAGTCATGACATTAGGGACTTCTAATCTAGTCTGACCTCATTTTAACTTGATCATATCTACAAAGACCTCATTTCCAATTGAGACCCCAATCAGGCTGTAGCCAGGCTTGAATTTCAGGAAGACACTAACTTAGTATAGTTATTATCTCCCTCTGAGGTGTTTACATGTAAAGTGATAGGTGGAACTTTTTAGGAGAGGCAGTTTGCTCTGTATACATACATGCTTACATACTCTGAAAATAATTTTTTAAAAAATTTAGCTGGTGTATATTTGTGTACCATTATAATTTGATGCATTAGATAATATTTGATAAATCAGTAATTAACATTGCCAAGTCTTCAAATATTATCAAGTCTCTACGTTAGGAACCTTTAAACTCTTGCCCAAATAATTTAAAAATATTTATGTTGTTACAAAACATAGTTATCCTACTGTGCTATAGAACATTAGAACTTATTTCCCACCTAAGTGTTTTTTCGTACCTATTATCCAACCTCTGTCTTTCCCTTTCTCCTACCCTTCCTAGGTTCCGGTGACTTCTGTTTTACAGTACTTGATTGTGATGAGCTTTTTTAGCTCCCATCAAAGTTTGAGAATAGATAGCATTTATCTTTCTGTGCCTGGCTCTCCTCATGTAAGATACTGTCCTATGTCATGACAAGTGACAGAATTTCATTATTTGTGATAGAACAATATTCCATTTTGTACATATACAATTCCACATTTCCTTTATGCATTCTTCCATCAATGAATGTCTTCATTGATTCCACTTCTTGACTACTATGCATAGTACTGCACATAAACGTGGACATGCAGATATCTCTTTGATACTGAAGTAATTTCCTTTAGATATGTACCTAGTAGTAGATTGCTGGATCATAGAGGAGTTCTTTTAATAGTTTTTGGAGAAACCTCCACATGATCATGTTCTGTAATGGCTTTCCTAATAATTTACATTCCCAACAGGATGTAAGAGTTCTTTCTCCATGGCCTTTATAATTTCCTTTTGTCTTTTTGGTAATAGCCTTTCTAAGCAGAGTAGCATGTTATCTCTTTGTGGTTTTGCGATGTATTTCTCTCATGATCTGTTTTTTTCACAGCTGAGGCAGGAGGATGGTGAGTTTGAGGCCAGTGGTGGGGGGAATAGAGCACGACCTTCTCAAAAAAAAAAGAAAGAAAATAACATGGTTGTGATATGAATAATTATTTGGGTTTTTTGAGGAAAAGTGGTAAGTCCAATTTTCATATTTATTAGATTTGTATGCTATGAATAGCAATTGTATTGTGCTAATGAATTTGTTATTAATCTAAAATGGCCTTACAATATTTTGTAAATGACCCTTTTGTAGAGACATATAAGGAAGACTAAAATTTCTGGACATTAAAACATAACATTTGATTTAATATTTGATCATGTATAGTGATCAGAATAGTCTGTGTTAGCCAGTTGTGATGGTACATACCTGTAATACCAGCACTCTGGGAGTCTGAGGCAGAAAAATCTCAAGTTTGAGCCAAACCTGGGAAACTGCAACTCAGTAAGATCCTGTCTCAAAATGAAAGTAGAAAAAGGGCTGGGATGAAGCTCAGTGTGAAGGCCCTGGGTTCAGTCTCCAGCACTGCCACACACACACAAAACAGTCCATGTTAACTGAATAGACATGGCAAAAGTCAAAAAGTTTGGTAACACATTTGATAAGGATATGCATTGAGTCAGTTTGTACCATAATTTACTATTTTTATGTTGCCCAAACTAGCCTGTAATTCTTGGGCTCACACAATCCTGATTTAGCTTCCCAAGGAACAGGGACTATAGGTGTGCACACCACGGTGCTTGTCTGTATCATAAATTTAAAAGCATATCAAAGAATATATATTCAATTGTTAATAAAAGCAAAAGACTAGAAATAACTGGTTAAGTCAGTGTGTGTGTATGTGTGTGTGTATTGGAATACTATGTACCTATAAAGAATTAATTGTATCCATGTTTGTAGCTATAAAACATCTCCAGTAAAGAAAAAGACAGAGATACACAAAGACAGAAATATACTGGGCTCCCATTAGTTTAAGGAAAATAGCAGGGCAGGAGTAATACACAAATATTTATACAGTCATCCTTTGCTATCCACAGGGAATTGGTTCTAAGACCTTCCCACCACCAAGACTCATGTATTGAAATCCCTTATATAAATGGCATACTATTTGTATCTAACTTATACAACCTCCTACATTATGCCTAATACAATATTAATGTTGTATAAATAGTTGCCATGCTGTGTTGTTTAGGAAATGACCAAAAAATAAAAAGGCTCTAGATGTTCAGAACAGGCACAATTTTTTGAATATTTTCAGCCTACTATTAGTTGAGCTACAATACAGAAGGCTGACTATATATAAAACATGTCTGTAAGAATATGTAAGAGAGTCATAACAGTGATGGCCTTGAGAGACCAGTCTGAAGTAAAAGATTTGACTTCTCTTTTTGTGCTCTTTTGTTTTTAGCTGGGTAAGTTACTTTTTAATGAAAATAACTTTTTGAGAAAAAATGGAATGTGTCCCTAGGGGTACAAATTGTTGAATGGATTATAATTTATGCAGTTTTTTTTAACCTATATTTCTTTATAAGGTTAATAAGAAACCATTTACCCTTTATTGTAGGTAAAATGGTGATGGGGAGATATAATAGGTATGTTGAATGCTGGTATTTCAGGATTTCTACATGTACACCTGACACGGGAGTGTAAATAGTTCATCACACACACACACACACACACACACACACACACACACACACCAATCCCCACTGGTGCTGAAGACCCTAGGCAGTGTGGTGTCTGTCGCTGGCCATTCAGAGTATCCAGGAGGTGTTTTCAAATTAAATAAAATAATAATAATTAAATAAAATAAAAAATAATAATATAACATAACAAGTAATATTTATCTGTCCAGTGAGTAACCAGTGGACACCCAGTGAAAGTAAGCACAAATTCACAAACCTATTCCGTGTGCTATAATTCAAAGCATAAGAGATACAGGAATGTGTGTGTGTTTATAGCTTGTTCATTCTCCAGATAAGATAAATTTGTAGAACCAACACGTAGGTTAGAAAACAGCATTAGTGGCCCCCAGAGGTCCCCTTGGGTCTCCTTCTAGTCACTACTCCTAATGATAACTGTATCCTGACTTGAGACAATGTAGTTAACTCATTAGGTGTTTGCCTTTTATACAAGTGGATTCCTAGTATATGTATTCTTTTGTTTATGGCTTGTTTGTTCTACATTGTTAAGGGAGTGTTTTCTTAACTCATTTTTTAAATGTCAAGCAGCCACATTTCAGCTATTATTAGTAACAAATTGCTGTTGACACTTTAAAATTGTCCCCAGCACACCCAGTGTTGTGAGAGTTGTGAGATTGGTCAGTCAATACGTGTAGACTTCAAACAGGTTATATAAGGACTTGTACAGAGGGCCTAACATGCTTCTCCAGCCTCACCTGGGCTTTGCACCTGCCCACTGCTCTTAGCAGCACAGCCTTTTGTCCCTACATACGCTGTCAGCAAGCCTCATATCAAATGTTAGGTCCCTGTTTGTTCGGAACCATTAGGCTTTACACACCCTGTGTTCCCCACACTTTGCCCATTCATGGAGTATAGCATTTGTCACATTATATTTGAATCATTAGTCAACCGTCTTTCCAATTGCCAAGTTCTTTTTACATTGTGTCCAGTGGCTAAGCTGTCACGTCATAGTCACAACACATGTTCAATAAACAAGAAGAGATTCTTCACCCAGCACTTGATAATCTCCTGGCGGTAGACAGATATGTAGGGAATTATAATTAATACTTACGTTGCATTTCCTAGATGCCAACCACTGTTTTAAAGTGCTTTTAAAGCCCCCATGGTACTATTATGAGCCTCCTTGTGTAGATAAGGAGATAAAGCAACCGCCCAAGATCACCTAGTTGGCAAAGTAGCAGAGGTGAGTTAATAAATGAAGGTAGTCTGCTTCCAACATCCTTGTCACATGACTCATTTCCTGTCCTCACTAGCAGGTAATGACTGTGCTCTAAAAACTTGCAGCTTAGAGAATGGGTGGTGAGTGATGCAATACGTCACAGTAGGAAAGTACATCAAGACCTGATTATGTCAGGCTGAGTAATTCTGTTCTACAGGTAATGGAGCACTGACGAAAATAACTTGTGTAGCAACATAATGGCCAGATGGTTAAGAAGAAAGTTTGTCAATAGTTTGGTTGCAGAAGTTCTTTAATGCCTGTGCAACTGGAATAGAAAAGGGAATCCAGGCCTTCCCACTGAGTGTCTAGCTTCTTTCCCTCAAGACACCACACACAGCAACAGTAAAGGCCAAAATCAAGAGCAGTAAAACACACAAGGACACGGAAAAGGAGGAAACAATGTTGAATGTGAAGATAGGTGATCAACTGATTTGGCAGAACCAAAAAAGCAAAATTCTTAATCTAGCGTGAGGAAAGCTGAGAAGTGGCCTGACTTACACCTAAAGCCTTGGGATTGGAGTATCAAGTACCACTGTGCCGAGGGATAGGTGGTGGAAAACCTTTTCAAGAAACAGTTAACCTGCAGATCCCACAACTCATTCCATTTAACTAAACCGTTGTCCTTCCTCAAATATGGCAGGTTGAAAAATACCATATCCATGAGTAAAACAGGATCTTTGGACTCTTAAAGATATGCAGCTGAGGATGGGAAAAATTCACTGAAAATAAGGGATTTGGGATATTCACATCCTGAATGTTGTAATCAACTTCCCTCCCCTACCTCTGCTCCCAGAACTCTTGGGCAGGAGCCTAGAGGAGATTCTTCTGGGTACTTGGTCCCAGGAGAAAAGGTCTAAAGATGTAAGCACTGGTCCCCCTACCCAGTTACTTACCATGAAGCCCATGACTGCAAACCTCATGTCATAGGGCTTCTACACAGCCAACTCCCACACAGACACATATACAACAGATTAAACAATGAAACGGCTCTTCTACCAATAGACTCAAGAAGATAGATACTACATTAAAAAATTTAAGTGGTGAATACTTCTAAGTAAATAAGGCAACAAAGATGAAAAACTCAATAGGAATGTGTAAAATAAAGTGGAGGAAAGCTAGAAAATGCAGCAGTGGGACAAAGAAATTGGAAAATAGGATACAAAAATGATAAAATCTGAGAATCAGTTCACAAGCTTCAATAATGAAGTAGCAGACATACCAGAAAGAATAAAAGGAAAAAAAGAAAAGAAACTGGGAAAGAAAAAGTGCTAAAGAAATTCAAGAAACATTTTCGAGAATTGAAAGATTTTGAGTGTTTAAACAATTATGCAAATATAATCGAAAAAAATAAACCCAAAATTTTAAAAAGGAAGGAAGTCAAATGCAATGGCACAGGCCTATAATCCCAGCATTGAGGAAGGCTGAGGCAGGAGGATTGCAAGTTCGAGCCCAGGTTGGATAACTTAGTGAAAACTTGTCTTGAAATTTAATTTAAAAAAAAAAAAAAAAAAAAAAAGGAACTGGGAGTATAGCTCAGGGGTTCAATCCCCAGTACCAAAACAATAAAAAGGAAGCGGGGATGGTCAGCCTGAAGCATGGGGCTATTTTGCGCTTCACATGGCTGAGGTGCTGCTGCTGCTTTCCACTAAAAAGAGTTTTATGGGACAGAAAGTTTCAGTGGTTGAAGATAAGATCCTGCCTAATCACTTAAGCTGGTTGGGCTTAAAACACAGGGTTTACAAGAAAAATAGTTTTTAGGGGTGATGATGGGTGTGTCTGTTTTTCAAGTGCTTCACACCTCCTTCCAGACACAGTTTTCTCTTGAGGTCCAGGAAGTGAATGCACCAGCAGCTCATTTGTGATTGCTAGTGACTTTGTGTTTTAAGTTAATTATAGGGATGGTTTCCCCCAAAGCATCTCTAAATCACGATATTTTTGTCTTTCTCTGTAAAATGGAAATGAGTAGTGAAGCCTATTTGAATGAAACAAAATTCAATTTTTGATGTTTCATTTTCCTGTAAACTGTTTTTTTAAACTTTTTTTATTTTACTCTTTTTCCTCGACAGTGCTGAGTGAAATTTTCTCTTGTTCAGTAGATTGATGACAAGTAAATGATTTTTGTTGTCACAGAGTTTCCTTTTGGAATGTGGCAGATAGCTTCTTGTGTGTGTGTGGGATCCACTGGGGATGGGGCTCAAGGCCTCCTGCATGGTCTTGCCATTGAGCTACACCTCCAGTCCCCGGCCTGTGTCCTCTTTACTATATTTCACTCTTAATGTGCACAATGAATGATTTGAAAATGAGTAATTTGATGATAACATGTTGGGAAGATGAGCGATGAACTAGAAAATAAAACTAATGGCCAACAGCGTCTCTCCTATATAGGTGAGTTTTATCACAAATTAATAATGGAATCAGTGCTATCTGGGAGCCATCACAAACAGCTGGAGTCTCTGAAAAGTGAATGTGGTCAAAAGAGTTTATGAATGTTGGGCGTGGTGACGCACGCCTGTAATCCCAGCACTCGGGAGGCTGAGGCAGGAGGATCTCTGTGAGTTCCAGACCAGCCTGGGCTACATAGTGAGTTCCAGTTTAAGTCTCAACTACACGGTGAGACCCTGTCTCAAAAAACAAAAAAACAACAACAACAGCAACAAAAAGTTTATGAGCACACCTGCCACTGGGCATCTAGAAACAGATTTGAAATAAGCACTTTGTACTTTCTGGAATTGGCAAGCAGACAGCAGCTTCTAGGATCCCATTCTTTTAACAGCATTGTAAAAAGTAAACTAACAGTACTTGTTGTTTAATAGTCTGCTGCAGAAGATGGCAAGGGGCTGCCTCCAGAGACAGTGTGTCATTCCAGTTATTATAGGTCAGTAGTGACTTCCCCACTGTGGGAGGCTGGACTCACAAACCCAGCAGCATGCCATTTGGAGTAGTGATATGACCAGCGGCTGATGTTGGAACCCTCATGCAGTTAGTACTGTCCCTCTGGCTGTGCAGCTTGAGTCATAGACCTGCTGGTGGAGAAAACAAAACAAAACAAAACCGTGGCAGTATCTAGAGAAACGGGCACTGTGGCACCGCAATAATCCAAAGCCAGGCTTTTGAGTTGCACAACTAACTCATCACAGTTAATCTATGCATGCTTTGATATATTGTTTTTGATCTGATCCTCCTCCCCTTTGTTCTTTCTCTTGCGTGCTTTGGGAGGGTATCTGAACTCTGCTTCTGCTTTTCTGATTTGATCTTCTCCAGTATCAACTCACACATCCCCTCCTGAGCAAGTTTAAAATCTATGATTTTTCTACTTCCTTGCAGTCTCTTTCAGCCAGAACTGTTTATATGTTAACCTATGCCCCAACTCCATGTCTTTCTCAATCTGAGCTCTCCTTAATACTTTTTGGTTTGTATTTCACAAAAATATATTAAAACTTAAGGTTTAATAAGGAAATTAGTTGCTTATTAATAACTCAAGGCAGATACATTTTAATTTTTTTTGTGTATTCTAAGAATAAAAAATTAGCTATCATTTTCTCAAGGCTTAATTTCACCAGATATTGTGCTTAATACTTTAGAACTGTTAGTTAACCTTCAGGACATCTTGAGGAATGATTGTTCTCATTTTGCTGATGAGGAAATTGTCATTTTCAAGGCTACTAAAAAGCTGCTGGTCACACATCCCAAAGTTAAGAGCATTGTGGAGTCACAGTTTAAACCCAGGGCTCTCTGGCTCCAAAGACTCTTTCCCTAACTATTCCTTTATACTATCTCCTCTATAGCTGGGTTTCATGATTTTTTATTTTAACCAAGTATTCAGAGAAATAACATTCCCTCGTCTCTTTTGCTGGAGATAGGTGGTGTGGCTCCCTTTGGTCTACTTTGCATTTGCCAATCTGTCTCTACACTCAACATTGTAAGGAGAGACCACTTACATCCGGGCTTGCCAGCTTTAGGAATTACTCCAGAACATCTTCCCCTTCCTCCCGGCTTACAATGTCATCTCCCCTCGGGAGAGCTTGTGGAGTGGCATCTGGCTCCAAATTGTGAAAGACTCAAGTTCAAACTCGCCGGAGCCACAAAGTATTTGGCTTGGGCAAGTGACCTAGGCCCTCTGAGCCATTAGTGACACCCATGTCACCAGGTCAGTGTGCCCATTTGGAGTGCAGTCTAGGTGAAGCTCCTGATGGGAAAGCGCACCATAAAGGATGAGCCCAGAAGCCATGGGTCCCTCTGGGGCTTCCCTACCCCGGAAGCCTCCCAGGATGCACCGCGGCCAGATGCCTCGTGGCCTCAAGGAGGAGTCGGTGTGGACGCAGGAGGACAAAGGTGAGGGCGGAGGTGCGGGCGAGGATGAGGCCACCCCGGGGCCACCCCAGGCCCTGCCTGCTCCGGAGTGCGTGGATTGGACCCCTCACTCCGCTGGCGCCACACGGCCAGGCTGGGCCCCCGAGCTCCCTCCTCCCGCAGCCCCGCTGGCTCCGCCTCGCGGCCGTTAGCTGCGCCTCAGGGCTGGGTCGCCGTTGGTTCACATCTTTACCTTCCCCTGAGGTTTTGTGAAGCGAACTGAAGGAAAGGTTGCTGGGTTGTCCCTTTTACCTTGTCTGGACCTTAACCCCCATCCATCCAGAAACACAGAAATGTGGCCCGGATTTCTGCTGAGTCCTGAAATAGAGGATTTTGCAGGGAGCCCTGCAGGGTCCCTGGAAGTGGGCTGTGACCTAGACTTGACCTTTGTGCCCCAGACCTCCAAAAATCTAGTAGGCCTTGGTTTTCGCAAGTGAAAATTATTGCCCCTATCCTCTGACTCTAAACAAACAATAAAGACACTTTATTTATTCTAAAATTCAAGAAAATTTATCAAGGGCTACTGTGTACCTAAGATCTAAATTTCTAGGTTCTGGAACCTCAAATGAACAAGGCATCTACTTTCTTGTTTGGAGGCATAGTTTGGAGGCCTGAGCCACACTCTGATATTTGCTGCTTACCCAAAGCTTGCTTTCATCTCATCAGAAAATGTCTTGGGACTAGAAGTGACAGGCCGTAGGTTTAAGTGGTAGGCCCTAGCCATTCCCACCACCAGAAGAGAAAAGAAAATGTCTTTAAATCAATTGAAATAAGGAAAAAAAATTTAAGTAGTGTGTGAAGTTGTAGAAGGGTAAAGCACTCTACTGTAAATTATGCATTATCATCCATTAGTGGATCAGAAAATCAGTTTAGAGGGTCCAAACAAACATTTTTAAAATTGGGTCTAGATGAGAATAGAATAGACAAAAGAACATATCACATCACAAATAGCATAGATAAATATTGTCTCGTGAAGCTTTGGTTTAAGATATAGTTTAAGGTGTGTATGCGCACTATAGTATATAGTATATATGATGTAAAGTATATTATTAATTAAATATAAATTATTTGAACCAGGATAAATATTACGATACAGAAAATGCCTTTGCAGTAGTAATATTCTATCTGAAATACTAATTATTTACATGACTGGAACTCTAACAGAATCAAATGTTACTTTTGCTCTAGATCCATGTTTTTACATTGACTTTGCATAGTATTAGAATGGCATATGTTTGGGTATATGACCCATCGTATTACACATACTATAAATCATTCCTGACATGCACAGAATGGAATGGCAGAATTGCTCAAATATATGATATCAGTCACTCTTCTGGTTGCTGATTATAGAAGCCATGAACCATAGTTGTCATTGTTACCATGAAAATATCCATAACTTATAGATTACCTCCATTATTGAGCTGTGTGACTATACAAAGATCTTTGCTTTACATTGTTCCTGATGAAACCCAGTAAGGAGGTTAGCAGTCCAAGAAGATTTTGGTCTGTACCAGTTATTATATTACTTTTTAGAAGGCTTGATAGCTTGATAAGAATATAATTTTGAGGCTTAAAGGTTTTTTTTTTTTTTTTTTTTTTTTTT